TTACACTATAACTCTCAACATTTAGACCCGATAGCTTCTATTATATAATTCTGTGCATTTATTTTCCAAGGCAGTGTAAGCCTCACAGGTAAACACTCCTAAGAGTGTCCCTTTTCTGCACTCAGCTTGACGTCTGATTTTATTTCCTAATTACTTCCTGACTTACTACAGTCTCAGTTATTTATAATTCATTTGGTTTTCACCAGTTTCTAGGTTTCATCACAAATGAGTTACTGGGTTTATTCTGCTTAGAAAGTGGCATCTGTTATAAAAAAGGAAAGTGATATTAGGGCAGAGATTACAGAGGCCACTCTTGCTACCCAATCTCAATACCTATGGAGTACTGTCTAGTTCTCACCTGTAACTCAGCATCTCATTATACTGTGTTAAAACATGTAGTTAGATCGTGACTAGTGTACTGACTGGCTTTGTGTGTCAACTTGACACAAGCTAGAGTCATCAGAAAGAAAAGAGCCTCGGATGAGGAAATGCCTGGGTGAGATCCACCTGTAAGGTATTTTCTCATTTAGTGATCATTGAGGGAGGGACCAGCTCATGATGGGTGGTGCCATGCTTGGGCTGCTAGTCCTGGGCTCTATAGGAAGGTGGGCTCAGTGGACCAGGCAAAGTAATCTAGTAAGCAGCACTCCTCCACGGCCTCTGTATCAGCTCCTGCCTGCAGGATCCTGCCCTGTTTGAGTTCCAGTCCTGACCTCCTTCAGTGATGAACAGCAATGCTAAAGTGTAAGCCAAATAAACCAATTCCTTGCTTTTTGGTCATGATGTTTTGTAACAGCACTAGAAACCCTAACTAAGACAACTAGCAAAGCATTGTGTTGGAGATCTTTCCTAGCTGTGCACTGTTTCTAAACATTATGTAAAATGACATTCATCTATATAAAACCAAAGAAGCTCATGCTGGTAGTAATTTTAACATTTCTAAGGTATATTGACAGAAGCTGAGTACAGAGCATATGTACATACTCAGTTCATAGTCACATATATTGTCCTTATTCACAGGTGTATATTCCCATAAAACTATTATCTTTGAAGTAGCTACCAAGGTCACTGACTTGAAAACCAATTAAAAACAAAGGAAGGGGGCAGATGACATGATTTTTTGATATACTATATGTACGCATACAGTCCTGGCTAATACTAGCAGCATCCTTTCCAAGATGGGCTCTTCCAATTTTTCAGAGGTTTGTGTCAAGCATCTTTATGGCCCTCACCTCTTACATGCATTATTAAGTCCTCAGAATTCACAAGGAAGCTGATATGGCTAATATTTATTTTATGTTCTTGGAACTGTCACAATGACTATGTAAAATAAAGGCCGTCATGACATTAGCAGTTTCCCAAGGAAGTGAGCACGGGTTCTTTGTCTTTCCTGAAGAAAGTCTTCTCAAATAATGAAACACCTGAGAAAGCAGATATCTCAACACTGAGATGCAAATTTTATTACTGATCTACTCAAAGTATGATTTTAAATGTTGATTTAGTTGTAATAAGTTAAATGCCAATGAGTTGACCATTCACAACATAAATATACCAGTGTTCGCCAAGAGCATGTACTTTTCAAGATCAAAGCAAAGTGTGCAGAAAAATTGCAAGCACCAAGCAGTTACCTACACTGTGAGTGATTGCAGGAAACAAGTTCTTACCTGTTACAAATGATCACAGTACAAAATTAATCTTCCCAACAGAATATGTCTTAAAAAGTTATCATAGTTTGTGGCACGTTAGAATATCATCAGTGGTTTCCCTCAGACTACAGAACAGACAATTGTTGAATGAAGCAAAATATATTCATGCCTCATGTGTGTGTGCGTGTGTGTGTGTGTGTGTGTGTGTGTGTGTGTGTGTGTGTGTGTGTGTGTTAGAAGGCTTTCTCTGAATGTGAATTCTAAATAAAAGTTTTTTAGTTATAAAAATATTTTACCAAGCATAAAGTTCATATTTGATGTATTAGTTTAAAATAAGAAGACATAGAAAGCTGAAAAGAAGGCTAAATATTTTCTCAATAGTTAATGGCCTATTTATTTTTTCACCATATATGACATACATTATTGATTATTGAAAAATTTTCAATTTCATAAGGCTACCACAGATTATAGGGATAAAGTTATATTAAACTATCTTCTACTAGTTCATAGAAGATTATATTTAAAAATTGCTGAGTGTGTACATGCATGAGCCTGTGACTACAAAATTATGGACAAAAAGAAAATATAATATCTAAGAATTATTTTGAAATGTTAGTTTGTAACTAAAAGCAAACAAAATTTAAATAACTAGAAATGAAATATTGCCAAGTATTTGTATCTAAACTCAAGTGTTACCTATTACTTCATTTCTGTGTAGTACCTAAGGGATTTGGAAATTGCTTCTGCGAGCTGCATTCACTTGTAAGCTTTTTGATTGTTTTAGTGTTGAGAAAATGTTATTTGTAAGATCTTTTAAAAAGAGACAGTTAGAGGTTTGAAAAGTAGGTAGGAAACTTTGGTATCCCGATTTATAGTCTAATGATGTTATAATTTCTTCAAAAAATAATGTCAATAAGTAAATCTAGGAATTCAGAGGCATCAGATTCCTTTCCTTTGTGTGTGTGTGTGTGTGTGTGTGTGTGTGTGTGTGTTATGCATTTCCTCATGTGTGTGAAACCATTTCTATGTTACAGTGAGCATGCATGTATTCACAAAGACATGTGGAGGTCACAGGTTGACAATGGAGTCTTCCTCAAACTCCCCCTATTTTATTTAATAAGGAAGGTCTCTCACTGATCTTGGAGCATGCCAGCTATTTCTATTATTGTAGCTGGCCAGCTTGCCCCAGTGATCCACTGACTCTGCCTCAGAAAGCTAGGATTAATGAGGGCCACCACACCTGCTGGACTTGTCCATTGGCACTGAGCATTAAAGCTGGTCTTCACTCTTGCAAAGCAAGTGCTTTATTCACCAAACAACCACATTTACTTCCCAGCATTTCTTTTTCGATCACTTTAAATGTCTTTCTAACATACTGTTTTGCAAAGGTGATAACAAACACACACTGATGTTGGAAGAAAGATGTAAGAAAGCTTTGAAATAAAAGCGTTAAACTATGAATAGAACATTTTTTTGTAAAATAAGTCTTTTTTCATAAAGATGAAATATGTTTATTCTCCAAATTTTCAAGATTATCAGTCATTAATAAAAAAACACACTATACTTATTAAAGACAAATAAAAACAATTAAAAAGAAAAAGACATAAATACCTAAATTCAAGAATCCATAGCATAAGAAAGTTCATTTGTAAATAGCTATGCTGAGTGAGGTCCATATGCTTGTTTTGCTATAGAGTTAGAAATAATGAAGAAGCAAGAAATATTCCTAAAATCACTGCAATTCACCAAGGATACTTTTGTATCAGACACTCCACATATAAAACTGTTGAGTATGTAACATTTTTTTTCATTTTACGGTAACATTTCAAAAATAAATAAGTAGTATATAGACAGCAAAAAGCCACCGAAAATGTTAGTTTGTGATGCTATGCAGGTACCCATTGCTCCCAGTTATACAGATTGCTTAGAAAAAGTGAGTGATGTCAAGAAATAAAATTTGGCCCATGTGAGTATGTGTTACTCAAATGTATAGATGCAGATGCATTGCTGATGTGATGTGTGCATGTGTGTATTTGTAGGTGTGCTTATGTTTTAGAGACAGTGGTAGAAATAAGCATAAATATATGGTTATACAAGGTACGAATGCCATTCAACTTGGAGTCTTGGTACTTGATAATGAATTATTATAAGTATTTGAAGTGGGAGAAGAAGAAAGGATAAATTAATTACCATATCCTTTGTCTTGTGTGTTCACATTTTTAGAAATAAGAAGACTACTTTGTTCATTTTTAAAGTGCTACCGATTTCACTATTTTTGTTCAGAACTTTTAGTAGCTCTTGCTTCCACGGTGGTCTTTTTACCACTTTGCATTGTGTAACCAAAACTAAGACTGAGCATCTGCTGAGCAGCAGAAGAGAATTTTGGATGTTGTTCTTGTTGATGATGATGATGATGTTGTTGATGATTTCTGAGACAGAGTAATCCAGGCTGTTCTGCTGCTCACTTTCATTGAGGATTGATTGCCTTGAGCACCTGACCATTTGTTCCCTACTTCTCACATTCTAGGATTATAGACTTCCTGGCCATGTTTTGATTTTTAGATACCAGGGTTCACTCTGCAGCCAAGCTGGCATGGAAGTCACTGTGTAGCTGACTTGCCTAAGTATAGGCAAGGTAGCAGATTAAACTGGCCAATCAGCTTCTCAACTGTTTTGAGGTGAAGAGGTAAAAGATACGGAAGAGAAGAAATGAGAAAGGATAGGCTGACAAATGGGATGAATGCTCACATCTTCCTGTGAGTGCCTGAGGATTTTCTGAGAATTCGAAGTGCCATCTCTTTTTTATTTGTGTGGTTTCTTCTAGTTATCACTATGGCAACTGCTAACTACTCGAACACTTGAAGGTGTACTATTTAACATGCAGAGGAAGTTATAATGAAGTTAGAGGTTCTCTGCCAGTCCCTCTGACAGCTGTCTTAGATACTGCAAGTTAAATAACCAGAAGAAGAAATTTGGATCTACAGGCAAAAGAGATATGCAATATTAGAGCTGAGTAGAAGTTTAACCATGTCATACAGGCACTAATCAGGGTAACAAAACCTAAGAATAATTTCCTCAAATAAATACTGATAAGACTATACTATAGTATTTTCTCTGCTGTTTACTATACTGTTTAAGTATAAACATATATATTTTTAGTATGATGTGCAGGTGAATGTACCTAAAGTACATACATACACCCATGGTCTCTAATCTATGCTCAAAAAACGAAAGCAGGCCAAAAAAGTCAAAAGACCACAACTGAAGAGTGACATGTTGCTCCTTTGTAGATGTGTGTTGCTACTATAATGCAGTGAATCATGGTGCTATTTACTGAGATTTAAAATCTTACAGGAGTCATCAAGACTGCCCTTCCAAACATGGATAGAGAGGCTAAAGACCAGTATTTGCTTGTCATTCAGGCAAAGGATATGGTTGGTCAAAATGGCGGACTGTCTGGAACCACTTCAGTCACCGTGACCCTAACTGATGTCAACGATAACCCACCTCGCTTTCCACGACGTAAGTAATTCAATGTGATTACTGCCTGTGAGAAACATCTTTACAATTCCTTTCAAATATTACTTTTCTTTCTTATTTATTCTTCACTAATATATTGCATCCAAGCCCAGTTTTGCCTCCTTCCTCTCCTCCTAGTCTGTCCCCTGCCACCTCCCCTCTCCAGCAGATCCATTCCTCCTCCTTTCCCTTGGAGAAAACGGAGGCCCTCCAAGGGATATCAATCAAGCATGGCATGTGAAGTTACAATCAGACTAGGGACAAACCCTCATATTAAGGCTGAGCAAGGCAACCCAGTAGTAGGAAAAGAGTCCCAAGAGTAGGCAGAAGACTCAGATGAATTTCTTCCAAATTTGTATTTTATCAAAGGCCTAATTTGAGCTCAGACTATGTAGTAGCATGGCTAATAGGGAGATGGTATCACATCTTCATATTTCTCTTTAAATACAACACAATCTGCCTTGAATTTATACTTTACATTGTGTATAAGTGTTAATTATAATTGTATATTTATACTTACCAAGGTTTTTTATTTTAATTCATACTGTTTCTACAGTTGTTGTCAATTACAAACATTACTTCTCTGTTCTAAACACAAAAGTTTTACTTTGCTTTCAAGGGTTTAAAATACTAGTGCTTTATTTTTAAAGTAAGTTTCATTATAACTATTAACATTTTAAGTGCACAAATTAATGATATGCATCATACTATAATCATATGTTCACTTTAAGCTTTTTGACCAGATCATATACACTGAGCATTCCTTTCACAGTTATACCATATTCCTCTCATGCAAAATTAAATGTCTAAAAATAATGCAGTCTAAAACATCAGAAATATAACCTCAGATGAGCTTCTGTCTTAAGTGGTTTTTTGGCTTATCCAGAAATAAGGAGAAAAATGAAAATAAAAACCTGTGTTGTCAAGGAAGCTGTGTCTTGTTTACAAAATCATTTTGTCCTACAATTCTTATTTTGTAACATGTGAGATTCCTTTAGAATGTTAAAGAAAACTTCTTTCTTCTTTCTTTCTTTCTTTCTTTCTTTCTTTCTTTCTTTCTTTCTTTCTTTCTTTCTTTCTTTCTTTCTTTCTTTCTTTCTTTCATAACTGTATCACATATATAATTTACCTTGATGATATTCTCTATTATCACCAACTCTTATTCCCTTCTCTCTTCCTCAGAACCTCCTTCTTCCCAATGAGTCCTCCACATTTTGTTTGTTTGTGGCCCACTGCATTTACTTTGCATTGCCTGAATGAGTTTGGGCAAATGGGCAGATCATAACTAATACAAGGTTATCTTTAACTTGACCACTTTAAGGAAAGGGGCTCCTTTTCCCCAGAGTCCATAAACCACCATTTTCCTAAAACTGACAGGTTAGGAGGTCTGTCTGCAATGTCTCTAAAATGGTTATCCAGTAGAAGCAAGAAACTCAATTCTATACTGAGAGAAATAAACAATATGAAACAACCATTGTGAGCTACTGTGCAAAGTCTTATTCTTTTTTTCAATCAATTAATATGTTTGGATATTTTGTATATTTCAATACTTGTTTGATTTTACAAGAATCATAATGGTGCTTCCAGAAAACATAAAAAGACACATTTTTAGTTACACACACACACACACACACACACACACACACACACACACACACACACTGCTTTCCTTTGTGGTTTTTCTGGCTTACCATGGGAAGACGGAAAGAGTTTTAGAAACTAATTCTATTGTTATCTTAGTTTCCTTGTAAAAAGTCTGCTTTCTCTAAAGCTGGTGAAGAGATGATATTGTCGCTTTCAGGATCTGTGCTTCTCCCAGTTTCCTCACATGGAGCCCAGGTTTTCTAGTCTCAGAGCCTTTCCTGGATTCTAAAGTGAAGAAACCCAAATACTTTTCATTTTTTCCCATTTCTCTACAAATTATTTAACTACTGTATCTTGAAATATTTGAATTTTACTAAGGACACATCTGTTTGTGTGAGGAACCCATTGAAAATGATACAGATATGTTGCAATCATTATAAAATTGTAGTATTTAGTATTCTAGAAATTACAGTCCAAACTGACAGTGCACCCTTACCTTTCTAGATTCCTCTTAAAGACAGTCTGTCCCTTTTATATGCCAAACTCCAAATGCATCATGGCTTTACATTTAATGCAGTATGAAATAAGGTTAAGGGGCAAGAAAAATAAATGATTAGAAAAAAATTGTCGAGGATCATATTCCTCAACCAACTTCCACATCAGCTCTTCAATATACTATTTTAGCTGGAAAAGGGTGAAAGGGATTAATACAGCAGTGAAATAAAAAGGTTGTATGGGTCATCTCTCTTTTTATTTTCTTCAGCCCTTTAAAAATAATATTACTTATTCATTTGCACTGTTATGTCCAAAGTCATGGCTATAGAAATCACAAATTCACCTCTTCTCTCTAAAAGAATATTAACATTTTACAAACAGACTTATATTACCGTCCCCACAGCTGCTTGTCCAGTTTTGTGGAAGTTTCTTTGTAAAAGATACTAAGTAAATTCCAGTGCTAACTTATCAGAAATATTAGTCATGCCTTTGGACATTTGAAGCACGAGGTGTTTTGTTGTTTAACATTATTGTGGTGGTTAATTATATCTAAATGGCACCATAAGTTTAATCATTATACTTTAATTATAAGTTTAGTTTCATTGCTTTAGGAAGCACATTTATCCCTAATAGATATACATCTAATCTGAATTTCTTCAGTAATCTGTTTCTGTCACTTGTCATTGCTGAAACATCAATCTCAAATTTCTTGAGGCTTCAGGAAACTTATTCATTTTATATTGTCTTAGCTTTTCCTTCTTTGGAAAACAGAACAATAATATATTATGAAAAATCAGTAGTTCTTGGAAGTGGGTGATTAGAAGTTTCTGTTCATTGTTTATTTTGACATTTCACAGGATCTTACCAGTATAATGTTCCAGAATCTTTGCCTGTGGCATCAGTCGTGGCCAGAATTAAAGCTGCTGATGCAGATATAGGAGTTAATGCAGAAATGGAATACAAAATAGTGGATGGTGATGGACTGGGTATTTTCAAGATATCTGCTGACAAAGACACACAGGAAGGAATCATTACAATACAAAAGGTAATATTTCCATGGTTATTTTAATTCTTTAAGGGTATTGTCATGGACTATCACACTACAGGGTCTGCTTTGATGGAATAATGTACCAAACACACTCAATGTCATAGAGAACCATTCCTATTTAAATTTATTACAGGATAAGCTATGTATTTATATTTATTTCTCAAATTTTTGTAGGAATTTGAATGGCATTTTCAATATTACCTCTCAATTCTATTCACCTAGTAAAATCATTACTATTATCCAAGGCCCTGTAACAATTAGACCACTGTCTAGTGTGTACATTTGAATACTCACAAAGAGAGAAATGCTTCTTTTTTTTTTTTTTTTTTTTTTTTGGTTTTTCGAGACAGGGTTTCTCTGCGTAGCTTTGCGCCTTTCCTGGAGCTCACTTGGTAGCCCAGGCTGGCCTCGAACTCACAGAGATCCTCCTGGCTCTGCCTCCCGAGTGCTGGGATTAAAGGCGTGCGCCACCACCGCCCGGCGAGAAATGCTTCTTTCTTGAATATTACAGTAATGGGGACTTAAATTCAACCCAAAGCCATTTCATTCAAGACAAACAGTATTTGCTTCACATATGAAAACAATATACATACAGTTAGAAGAAGCAAAGTGAGGAAGTCTTGCTGCATTAGCAATTACTTTGTTTAAAAATATATAATAATTATGACTTGAGGAATTTATAGTAAAAGACCATGGCTACCTTTAATCTTATTGTAATCTTTTACACAAAAAGCTAGATAAAAGAGCAGTATGGCCGGGCAGTGGTGGCGCACACCTTTAATCTCAGACTCGGAAGGCAGAGGCAGGCGGATCTCTGTGAGTTCGAGGCCAGCCTGGGCTACAGAGTGAGTTCCAGAAAAGGCTCCAAAGCCACACACAGAAACCCTGTCTCAAAAAAATCAAAAATCAAATAGCAGGATAATAAAAAATATTATTTCTTTATTTTGGCATATTTAAATTGCTCCCATCCATCATTGATTAAGTATGGGTACTTGTAACCTTATCCTCTCTTCAGTGTTGATCTTAGAACTTTGGAAAATTTTAGCAAAAAGAAAATTAACAGAGTTGATTGCAAAATAAGAAAATAGTAAAATATCAGATTCATGAAGTGTTAAAAGTTTATGTACTCCCAATCTTCCTCAAATTGGGATGTCTATAAGGCTAAAAATCCAGGTGCATAACTCTGTAATTAATATTTAGTGATAATTAACACAGCAATAAAGAAATTTATAGTTTAATTGTTATATTAAGACATATGTTTGATTTCAGGCCAATGGGCAAAACATTTTTGTCATTATTCCAGTGGACAGATGCTATTTTAACTCTCCATATAACAATCTTTGTGCAAGAGTTTTAATAAGTAGGATAGGCTAACTATTAGTAAAATGTTTTGCTTTGTTGTCTAAAATAAAAGGAATGCAATAAGGTACACATCTGCTCAGAGATTTCATATTAAAAAATTTGAAAACATACTGAAAGTATTTTTATTCATTACATGAATATGTTTTATAGCTGTTAATGGACATGCTTTAAATAATTGAAATTATATTTAGTATAAGATATTGAAGTCAATAATAGAAAACTTAAAGGTTATACTTAGTTTTTTATTTATTTTACTAAATATGTGTTTGTGCTGGTATGGAGTAACAGTGTGTGGGGGCATGTGTGTGGGCCTTATGTGGTAATATGTGGAGATTAGAAAACAACTTTCAAGATTAGTTTTCTCTTTCCACTATGTGGAATCAAACCCAGTTCCTCAGGTTGGTAGTGGAAGCCTGTACCCTCTGAGCAATCTTACTGGCCCCAATTCTCAATTTTTAAATATTAAAATAATTTCTATAATTAAAAAATATTAAAAGTGCATGAAAGAACTTCAAAGGGAAACAGACTCTAACTTAGACATATATAAACAGCACACAAATAAACTTCCATTGTATGTGGCTATCAATATCTATCAGAACAATATAGTTATTTATTAATTAATAAATAATTAATTATAATTAATAAATATACTTACTTGCATATTCTTCCCAGATCTTTCCATCAACATTGTGAAGCTATTATTTATTTCAGATAAAATATGAGAAAATTATTAAATGTCTCACAATGGATGAAATGGTTATGTAACAAAATGTAGAAAATTTCAAAAGGTGACATGATGACATTTCTTTATCATATTAAGCAGTTTGAAAATCCTTAAAGAAAAAAAACTGAAAACAAAAGTATTATTTAATTTTTCCGAGCCTTGCTATAATTTTATGACAATTATATTTATGTAGAATGAAATCTTATGAAATAATTGTCAAATAATTAATGTATACTATACATTTTTACTCTAGTGAAAAAAATCTGAAATATATTCATGCACTTAATATTCAACTCTTTTGCTTAGAAAAACTGATATAGGTGCAGAAATAACTCATGAAAATTATGTTTAATGGGTTTAATCTTATTTTGTTGATAGAGCATTAATAAGTACTAAAAAGGTATACTCTTCTGTCTAATCAATTAAAATTCTAAAATATTTCAGTTCCTTCTAAATTTACACTAATGTTTTAATTTATGATGATGGAGAAATTCTCTACTCAGACAAATGAATCTGAAAGATCACCTTCATCTAATTATTATTTATTATATAATTTATTATTGCAATATCAATTTAATATTATATGTAAAGCTACCTAATAATCTTATATTTGTATCTGGATAAATATGAGATTAAAGTTATTGATAATTAAAATCAAATTTTTTCTCTAGCAGTTTCTAATGTATGAATAATATAATAATCATTCTTATATAATGTCAACAACTATTTTTGAAACTGCTGAACACACATAGTATACAAAAGTACCATACAAGACAATGTCTTTAATGTCCCAAATATTGAGTCTTTAGTATGGCAAAAAATAATGACTGAAGGAAAAAGAAAAGTACAATGAAAATAAGCCATTTCATTATTGTAATGCCATAGCGTAAGTAGGCAGAAAAATTTACTGTATAATAACAAATTATTTAGTTTGACATCTTATGTATGGAAAATCAAATTCTGCTAATCAAATATCAACATAATATATTTAAATTAAAAAATATACCAGACTGGGCTGTGGTGGCGCACGCCTTTAATTCCAGCACTTGGGAGGCAGAGGCAGGCGGATCTCTGGGAGTTCGAGGCCAGCCTGGTCTCCAAAGCGAGTTCCAAGAAAGGCGCAAAGCTACACAGAGAAACTCTGTCTTGAAAAACCAAAATAAATAAATAAATAAATAAATAAATAAATAAATAAATAAATAAAATATACCAAGAACACTCAGCTGTGGAATCCTAACATGATTTTCTGTACTGATCTAAACCTACTAGGATAAACTTTTATTTAAACAGAAGTCTTAACTGGGGAGTCAACAATAGTAAATTAGTCTTAATCAGGCTTCCTAAATTTACTTTACTTCATTAAAGAGACAGATTGATATGCTTTCTATATTTTATCTTAATTTAGAAGATATAGTCAACACAGTGATCAGAGCTATTAAATTCTAAAAGTTTGCCAGTCTAGGTCAACAAATAGCATGACCCACACAGGGTGTCTCTACCAAATGTTGATGTTATTAGCTTATAATCATAGAATAGATTCTTATTAAGAGAGGATACCGGAATCTTTGTCACTTGAAATAGTAATTTTTAAAGAACCAATGGTACCTATTAATTATATAAATATCTACACAAAACCAATTAAAAGCACAATCTAAGGTTTTATTGTGAAAGGTAAGTATCTCAAGCATTAAAAAAATGATGCTTCACACTTACTTAGTTTCTACCCTTCATGTTGTTTACTAAGAGACACTGAGAGATTTTGTTGTTGTATATCAATCTAATTACTATTTGTAAAATTCTTCACTCTGAAACACCTTTCTAAAATTATGACTAACTTAGATAAACAAGGTGAATAATTACCATATTTAAAATAATTATTTTGAAGGTATTAACTTACTTAAAATAATTTATGATTTAAATAAGAATTCATTAAATTACTGAAAATTACCTAATTACATTTTTTTTTGGTCAAACTGATTAATACAGTGGTCCATAAAGTGGCCTCCTTTGTTCTTTCCTTCTTTAAACATTAACAAAAGGAGGCAAATTTTCTTATATATCTAATTTCTTTACAAGAAAGGAAATGAACATTGGTGTGCATACTCATGTCTCCCAAATGAAGGGAATTACTTTACAAGCTCAGATGCTCCAATTTAGTAAATATTCCAAGTTCTAAATTGTATTGACCTAAAAGATTGTGGTCATTATCCAAAGCTTGGGAGAAGGTCTAAGAACATTGAAAATGGTACTCAATTGATTACTTTGAGCAAAGCTAACATCAATTTTGAATGATATCTAAAGAAGTAGCTGGACCCCATAATGCGTTTTAAAAAAAAGACCCATTGTTCAAACATTCTTGAGACTGAAATGAAATGTTCATGAATTTGAGGCCACCATGGGCTGCATAGCTAGTCCCCTCCCCAATTTCTCTGTAATAGTTACATTTCCCTTTTCTGTAATAAAAAAATACCCTGGTAAAAACAAATTAAGAAAAAGGTAGTTTATTTTTCTTCATAGGGTGTGGTCCATCATGGTAGCAGGAGCTTGAGGAATTTGTTCACATAGAATACAGGAATCAGGGAGTAATGACTACTAGTACTTATGAGAAATGCATGGAGTCTGCTTTTAGGGTAAAGGAATATACTAAGAAGGCTCACTACAGAACAGGAGATTTATTGTAGGGTCCTGGAAGGCTGAGGTACAGTGCCACGCTGTTCTTCTGCCTGAGTCCATCCCAGCATCTAAGCCCACGAGGGAGAGAAGAGAGAGGAATATGTGCATCTCAGGTCCTAAGGCTAGCCCTGAGGTCATGCCCAAGGGGCAGGTACTTCATTGTCATAGGTAGGTAAGACACTTACCTACTACATCTCTAGGAGTGGTACTTCAAGGTCATAGATAAGACAGACATCCA